GGCAAGGAAAGGGAGCAAGCGAGGGAGGTCCTCCGACAGAAACGCAGGCCGAAGGGCGCGGGCCAAAAAAAAAAAAAACACGGAAAGGAAAAGACACTCACGACCGCAAAATCCCATTAATAAACTGCAAAATCGGCATAAACGTCGTCTTTGTGCGGTTGCTCGCGAGCGAGAAGAGGAACGTCGTCGCCGCCGAGACGGGCGTCGCGAAGGACTCGTATTCGTCTGGTAATGAATTAGCATTAATTCTTGTTATTATTAGAGAGGGGAGGGAGATGGGGAAGGTGGAGGGGAGGACATGCGCGTCAAAGGCATGGATAAATACACGTTGATCGCACATCGATCGCATAGCGGACGCGTCTCGTGCGTCGCGGAAACATCCACGCATCTAACGAAAAAAGCCCTCCCTCCCTCCCGCCCGTCCGCGTTCATGCGGCGCGCGCACTCGAACGAAAACCGCAGAAAATAAAAGACGCGCAACTCACCAACCGACACCCGCACATAATCCACCGGATCGCTCTCCCACAGCTGCTGCCGCGCCGCGTTGAACGACAGCTGCGGGAACACAAACGTCTCCACCAGCGTCTGCGCGTGCGGCTTCAGGAGCGTCCACGTCGACTTGGGTTTGATGCTGTTTTTTTGGGGGGGTCGGGTTAGTGAAGGGTAAACGGTATATCAGAGCATAGTAACGGGTATATCAAAGAGAGAGGCGAAGGGTGTGTTGTTGGAGGAGCAGCGGAAGCGTAGTCGTACACTACACTCCTTTACCGAGAACAAAAAGAAAAGACAGAAAAGAAAAAGAAAAAACAAAGAAAGGGACGCACCACTCGGTGAAAAACGTGAATATCTGGTACTGGCACTTCTTGCTCAACCACGCCTGCCCCGCGACGTACAGCTCCACCTGCCGCACTGGATTACACAAACACAAAAAAAAAGTTCAATTCAATCCGTCAATTAGCTAGCGGAAGAGCAAGGAGGAGGGAGTGGGGACGCACGATAAATCGCCAATATCTCGGGCGCGAACACAGCGACAAAGTGCGCCGCAAAGTTGCCATAGTCGGCCTGCATCGCGGAGGGCAGCTGCGAGGGGTTGCCGAACCTATATAGAGAATACATTAGTACTCGTGCGTTTTGTACTGCAAGAGTAGAAAGGGAGAGGGAGAGGGGTAGTAGTAGAGTAGAGAAATCGGCACAAAGGGCGTGCAGGTGATTGAGAGTGAAAGAGAGAAGGTAGGTAGGCAGGGACGCAAGACGCACCGATGGAACAGCCGCCCCAACACGCCATACGCCCACTTCTTCGCGCGCCACCACTCGCTGCGCTCGCGCTCCTCTTCGTCCGCGGGGACGGCGTTCGCGGGGAGCTGAAAACGAATTCAAAACAAGTCAGTCGGTGCGCGTACGGAGGAGGAATGGAAACGGGAGAAGGGGGGAAGGGGAAGGGGAGCGAGGGAGGGAGACCGCACGACGCAGCCCGCGCAGACGCCCAAAGAAAGGCACACCGGCGGACGCGGAGAGAAGAGACCGACCGCCCGCCCGGCCCCGGTCGTCCGCCCATGTCTCGGTCTCCGGCCCCGCCCCGGCGCGACGACGCGTCGGAGCGCCTCTCCCCGGCGAGAATCCCCAAAGCCTCCCCCTTGTAACTCGCTCCGCCCCCACCCCACCCGCCTCTCCCCACCACTTGTACTCCCTCCTCACTCCTCACAAAACAGCACACGCCCACCCACCTGCAGGTTAACCACCCCAAACAGCAGCTGCCCCCACGGCACGAGGCTCGCCGCGCCCTGCTGGTGCGCGCTCAGGTGCACCACGATCGCGGTCTTGTACGTCTTGAGGATGAGGTGCAGCATCGTCGGGATGAGGGGGGCGGCTGCGGGGGGGGGGGGGGGGGGGGGGGGGGGGGGGTTAGTGTTCGTAGGAGGTCAGAGGGAAGCAAGGCAGAGGGTGGGGAGGTGGTAGGGTAGGGAGGGAGGAGGGAGGAGCGAGGGGTGGTTTGGTGTGTTTGAGAAAATGGGAGGAGCGAGCGGATGAGGGGAAGGAGCGGAAAGGGTAAGGAAGGGATGGGGGGAGGGGAAGCAGGGAAAGGGTTAGGAAGGAGGAGGGTTAGGACGGAGGTGCGTAAATGGGAGGCAAGTCGACGCGTCGGCGTCAGCTCACGCGTAACCCAATGAGCCAGTGCGTCGGGCGCGGGCGAGGCTCGTCTCGCCCGTTTGGCAGTCGAAGCAAGGGGGTGCGCAAGTCCAAAGACAAAGCGGCGTTGGTACGAACGCGTCAAACGAATTGAGGCTCATCCTCGACGACTTGCCACTCCACCCTCCCGCTCTCCTCCCCAAAAAACAACAACAATAACAAAATAACCAAAAAAGTCGAAACGCAAAGAAACAAACACACGCACCCTCACCACCATGCTCGAACGGACTCTGCATCATCTGCTGCGCGATCGCCACCAGCGTGGGGAAGAGCGCGGCGACGAGAGAGGGGAGGATGTCGGCTTTTTGGCGGAATCTGGGGGGGGGGGAGGTTAGTTTTCGTGTTAGTTTTAGGGAAGGGAGAGGTGGAGGGAGAGGTAAAGAGGGAGAGGTAAAGAGGGAGAGCAAAGAGGTGGGTAAAATTAATTTAAAATTTAAGGAAAAATAGAATATGGAGGAAGGGGGGGCAACACGCATGCGCACGCGATGATGCGCAAATGCAGACAGACAGACAATGCGAGAGATAGTGAAAGTAAATAAACAAAAGAGGAGAAGAGGGCGGGGGCGCCGACGTCTGTGCTCAGCAGGCAGCAGCGGCTCGCGCACAAGTGGTGCCGTGGCGTAAGAAAAGAAAAGAAAAAGAAAAGAAAACGCCGATTGACGCGCCGTTTACCCAGGTAAGCAGAAGTAATTTTTTTTTAGAGGGGAAAGGCCACGGGGACGCAGCGGGCGAGAAAGAAAGAAAGCACGGCGCGCACGGCACGCGACGCGACCCGCGCCCTTGAGGCACAGGAACGAACAGATGCGGGCAGATGACGCGGGCGCGCCACCACAAAAGAAGCAGGCGCCGGCGTGTGCGCCTGTGATGTCATGCACGGGGGCGCGATCGCGCGCCATCGATTAAAAAAAACGCAACCAGGATAAAAAACCTGCAGCACCCACCTGAACGCCCTGACACTCTCCAACGCGGCGACACACCCCGCATGCACGTGGCGAATGTCGCCGCTGGCCAGCAGGGCCTTGACGTCGTCGACGAGGCCGGGCCAGCGCTCGGGGAAGTCGTGGGCGACGACGGTCTTGAGGGCGCTGGCGAGTTGGACGGTGATCGCGCGGCTGGGGGCGGCAGCGAGGAGGGGGAGGAGGGACGCGCGGAGGGCGGCGCGGTCGGAGGCGGCGATCAGGGCCTGGTCGGGGCGGCGGGAGGAGGCGTCGAGGGTGTAGTTGTTCTGCACCCGGTTTTTGAGCCACACGGAGCAGGATTGGCGGGTCGCGCTGGGTGGGGTGGCTGGGTCAATTCAGGGCGGGAGACGGGCGACGCGTCGCGTACATATCGATGCTGTCTGCGCCGATGATCTGCAGCAGGGCCGCGAGCATGCCCGTTTCATTCCCCACCTATTAACTGGCATTAATTCATATTAAGCAAAGTAACGAGAGGCTATACCTTGCGGATCTGCAGCTCGGCGGCGCGGCGGGCATTGGGGTCTGTGCTCAGCGTCGAGGCGAATAGATTTGAGAGCGTCTGGAGGTCCATCTCTGCGTCGCTTTCTTGTAGAGTGGGGGGAGGAGGAAGGGTCAAGGTCTTTGAAAAGTTTTTTAGCCGGGCACGTGAGTCGATCAATTCTCTGTCCTTTTGTCGCCAACGCGTCTTTGTTTTCTGGTTGACTACTACGACTACAAAAAGAGTACAAAGTCGCGTTCGTTGTTACTATGCAGCCACCATATCCGAAATGAAATAAACGCCGTACACGCGTCCGAGTATGACGCGAGGCACTCAGGGGTCCCTCGCCATTGGCCATGTCGTCCAGCGCGCGACGGGAGCTGTGACTCAGTCCACTCGGTACCTGGAGTGCAGTGCCTGCCATGCCATCCACGGGAGAAGCTCGATGACGCCTCATCAGACTCAAGGCGGGTTCCAGCATCGCGCGCCTATTCCCGACGCATCTTGCTCAACATCCTCTGTAGCCCAACCCCAACTTCGGTCCTGCTCCCCGCAGCGTACCAGAACCACCCTTCATCCGCATAGCTCCAAGACGCCCACTGCCAGCGCCTAGCACACAAGCGACATCGACGCTAGAACCGCGTCTCCGGTCCTCGTTTGAGTCCCCGGACTCCGCTTCATAGCGAGGTCGCGAGGGAGGGTCACGCGTGGACGCGAAGACGTGGTGCTTTGGCGGCGCCAAGTTGGCGATGCATATATTGTACGGCGCCGACCTCCCGGGCCTTATTAATTCTCGTGCTGTCTGTCTGTCCGTCTTGCAGCAACAGATACCGTCTTGCAGCTGCCCGAGCGCTGCGTTCGCTGTGTCCTCGTCTTCTCATCTTTTTCCTCGTCCTCCATATGCATCGAGCAGTGTACACTGTACAGTCGCACGGAGACATCACGAACCGCACCCCGGCCCGCGCCCGCTCCCCGCATTTTTCAACCTTGCTTGGTAAAACTTCAAGTTCTCGCCCACCTTTCAACTTCCAACTTCCATTTCATCTCGCTCTTTCCCGTCCTTCTATTTCATTTCCTCCTTTCATTCCGTCCTTCAAGTTTCATTTCATCCCGCTGGTTCCGAGTCGTCTCCTGAGCCACCTGGGTCCTGGAGCCCAATCGTCCTGCGCCGTAGTGTTCCCCGCCAAATCGGAAAGAAAGACGCGGAGTCGGAACCAGAGAAATAAAATAAAATAGAACATACTAGTATGTAGAACTTGAAAGGAGCGATATAAGCAGTACGCCGGCCACCAAATTCCAGCTGGTTGAATTAGTAATTAATTCCAACACTTCTCATCTCTTACCTACTCATCCTATCCTTGCAGCAATGTAATCATGAGCCAATGGCACAACGGTTAGTGCGCTTGCTTTAGTTACTCGATATTTGTATGATTTAAGCAAGAGGTCCTCGTTCGATCCGGGGTTAGGTCATTCTGCGGCCAAAATATTTTTTCCCTGAAAAACCTATCCTGAATATGTTCTCCCTCCTTTTTCTTCGAACGGAGCTCGTCAAGGTTGAGCTTTAATTTAGGTCCATGCGCAGAGCCAAAGTTACATTTCACCAGTCTCTGCTCCTGGTTGAATAATTCCAACGCTTCCCCCTCCCCATCCCTTACCCATCCTCGCAGAAATGCAATTATGACCCAATGGCACAATGGTTAGTGTGCTTGCTTCAGTTAGTGCTACAGTGATTCTAGGCAAGAGGTCTCCCGTTCGATTCGGGGTTGGGTCATTCGTCGATTATGTCGTTTTTTTCTTTCTCGCAAAGTCAACCTTCTTTCTAGATTTCCTCCCTCTTCGCGCAGAGCTTGAGTATAGCACTCTTTCGGATGGTGCCAGTCAGTCAAGGCTGAGCTTGACTGGACCTGCAAAACCAGAATGACTATGAGCAATAAATGTGGCTCAACACTTCCTCCTCCGAGTCCCTTACCTACTCATCTCACCCTCACAACTATGCAATAATGACCCAATGGCACAACGGTTAGTGCACTTGCTTTCAGTGGTGAGGTTAACATTCAACAAATTAAGCACGAGGTTCCCCGTTTGATTCGGGGTTGGGTCATCCGCTTTTGGAGTATCTTTTTTCTTTCTCGCAATATTTGTCACCCTCTCAAATTCACATGTGTGTGCTGACCTTGAGTGTAGTACTATTTTGGATCGTGCCAGCCTGTCAAGCCTGAGCCTTAATATCCATGCAGGTTCCACTGAAAACCAGAATTAATATGTGCAATAAATTGAACACTTCCCACTGGCATCTCACACCTACTCATCCCATCCTCACAACCATACAATCACGACCCAATGGCACAATATTACTGCACTTGCTTTACTTACTGTGTGTATAAGGAATAGGCAAGAGGTCCCCGTTCGATTCGGGGTTGGGTCATTCTGTGATTGAATTTCTTTTTTTTCTTTTTCGTGTCAACCGTGACCGTTCTCCCTCCTTTTTCTTCGAACGGAGCCAGTCAAGGTTGAGCTTCAATTTGTGTCCATGCTCGGAGCCAAAGTTACATTTCACCAAATTCCACCGGTCTCCGAGTCCTGCATGCTGGTTGAATTATGTAGTAATTCTAGCACTTCCCATCCCTTGTCTTTTACTTATGTTGATTCTACACACATATGTACATGGAATTATGATCCAATGGCACAACGGTTAGTGCGCTTGCTTCAGTTAAAATGTTCGCGATGTCAAGCAAGAGGTCCCTGTTCGATTCGGGGTTGGGTCATCCGCTTTTGGAGTATCTTTTTTCTTTCTCGCAATATTGTTAACGTTCTCTCAAATTCGTATTTGTGCTGAGCTTGAGTATTGTACTGCTCTCTCGAACAAGCTAGTCAAGGTTGAGCTTAATACACATGCAAGTTCCGTTGAAAACCAGAATGACTATGTGCAATAAATTGAACACTTCCCACTGGCATCCCACGCCTACTCATCCCATCCTCACAACCATACAATCACGACCCAATGGCACAATATTACTGCACTTGCTTTACTTACTGTGTGTATAAGGAATAGGCAAGAGGTCCCCGTTCGATTCGGGGTTGGGTCATTCACTGATTTAGAATCTTTTCTTCTTTCTCGCAATATTTGTTACCCTTGTCTTAAATTCACATTTGTGCTGAGCTTGAGTATGGTACTCCTTTAGATAGTGCTAACCAGTCAAGCTAGTCCAAGTTGAGCTTTAGTGGACCTGCAAGTTCCACTAAAACCAGAATCAATATTCCTTAAACTCTGGCTGGGGCCGGATCTTGGTTCAACAATTCCTCCTCCCACACCTACTCATCTCATCCTCCTAGATATACAATCATGACCCAATGGCACAATGGTTAGTGCACTTGCTTTACTTAATATGGGATGCACATGGAGTTTAGGCAAGAGGTCCCTGTTCGATCCGGGGTTGGGTCGTGATTGTACGATTCGGCTTTTTTCCCCGTGAAAACCTTCTTTCTAGATTTTCTCCCCTTCGCGCAGAGCGCTGAGTACATTACTCTTTTGCATGGCTAGCCAGTCAAGCCTGAGCTTGAGTGGACCTGCAAAACCAGAATTTACTATGACAATAAATTGAACCCTTCCCATCCCTTGTCTTTTACTTAACTTATATTGACCCTACACCCATGCAGTCACGACCCAATGGCTCAATGGTTAGTGTGCTTGCTTTAGTTGTCACGGAGTGAGGGCTGTACGCAAGAGGTACCTCGTTCGATTCGGGGTTGGGTCATTCCGGAGTTGAGATTTCTTTTTCCCTGAAACTTATCCCCAAATACCTTCTCCCTCCTTTTTCTTTGAACGGAGTTGAGATTGAGCTTTACATTTCACAAAATTCCACCAGCTGGTTGGATACTTCCTCCTCCCACACAATATTCTCATCACAGCTATGCAGTCATGACCCAATGGCACAACGGTTGGAGCACTTGCTTTAGTTAGTCAAGAAAGTCCACTGTTAGACAAGAGGTCCCCGTTCAATTCGGGGTTGGGTCATCCGCTTCTGGAGTACCTTTTTCTTTCTCGCTCTTTCCCGTCCTTCATTCCGTCCTTTCATTTCATTCCGCCAGTCCGTCTCCTGAGCCACCTGGGTCCTGGAGCCCCAATCGTCCTGCACCGTAGTGTTCCCCGCCAAATCGGAAAGACTCGGAGTCGGAGCTAAAGGACCAGAGAAAAGAAAAGAAAATACTAGCAGAACTTGAAAGGACTCCTCGATATGAGCAGTACGCCGGCCACCAAATTCCAGCTGGTTGAATTAGTAATTAATTCCAACACTTCCTCCTCCCTTACCTATCCTGGCAGCCATGCAATCATGACCCAATAGCACGACGGTTAGTGCGCTTGTTTAAATTAGGGTAACACCTTTCTTGCTTATGCAAGAGGTCCTCGTTTGATCCGGGGTTGGGCCGTGTGATTTACGATTAAGAATTACTTTTTTCCATGAAAGACCTATCCCCAAACACGTTCTCCCTCCCTTTTCCTTCGAGCGGAGTCGAGATTGAGCTATACTCGGAGCCAAAGTTAAATTCCACCAGCTGGTTGAATAATTTTAGCACTTCCCCATCCCTCACCTACTCGCCCTATCGTCGTAGCCATACAATCATGGCCCAATAGCACAACAGTTAGTGTGCTTGCTTTACTTGATACGGCGGAGTGTCTAATGAGCAGGCAAGAGGTCCCTGTTCGATTCGGGGTTGGGTCATACTCATTACTGTGATTTTTTTTTCTTGCTCGCAATATTTGTTACCCTTCTCTTAAGTTCCATTTGTGCTGAGCTTGAGTATAGTACTCTTTTGGATGGTGCCAGCCAGTCCAGCTTTCGTTTAGTGCCCACGCAAGTTCCACTAAAACCAGAATTAATGTCAGCAATAAATGATTTGGTTGAACAATTCCTCCTCCCACACCGACTCGTCTCATCCTCACAACTATGCTATCATGACCCAATGGCACAATGGTTAGTGTGCTTGCTTTAGTTATTCAACTCTTTCGCAATCTTAGGCAAGAGGTTCGGGGTTGGGTCATTTGACGATAAGTATTTGTTTTTTTCTTTCTCGCAATGTCAACCTTCTTTCTAGATTTCCTTCTCCTTCGTGCAGAGCGTTGAGTACAGTACTCTTTCGGATCGTGCCAGCCAGTTAAGCTAGTCGAGGCTGAGCTTTAGTGTCCATGCAAGTTCCCCTCTGAGCCAAAGTTAAATTCCAGCAAATTCCACCAGTCTCCGCGTCCTGCATGCTGGTTGAATAATTCCAACACTTCCCATCCCTTGTCTTTTCCTTGTATCAATCCTCACAGCCATGCAATCATGGCCCAATGGCACATTGGTTAGTGTGCTCGCTTTAGTTATCTAAATCTTTTGCCAGCTTAGGCAAGAGGTCCCCGTTCGATTCGGGGTTGGGTTATTTGACGATTGCCTTTTTTTTTTTTTTTCGTGTCACCTTCTTTCTAGATTTCCTTCCTCTTCGCGCAGAGCTTGAGTACAGTACTACTTCCTTGAACAGCGCCGGCCAGTCAATTCAAGGCTGAGCATGAGTGGACCTATGGCGGTCACTTTGCACATTTATTATTTCGGACTTTTTTTTTCCCACTTTTCAATACTTTTTTCATGTTTTTCGAGCTTTTATACTTTTTTTTTCTCAAGGCACCTTTTTTTTTTGTTCCATGCCTACATTTCTTTTCTGGACAGTTGCACCAAGGTTTTTCTTCCCAGATTGCAACCAACTTTTGAGGGAAGTGGGGATTCAAGTGTTATTTTTTGATACAGTGGCTGTACCTGCCGACCGGCGGGCCTTGATGGCCTCGATCAGTAGTACTATTAATACTACTAAGGGCACTTCAGCTCTCATGGTTAGGCTCAAGTGATCTGTAAGAGGAGGTCATCAATGGTGGGATAGCACCTACCATAGCAGAAGTAGCAGTGGCATACCTTCTGTGATTGAGAAGGAGGTTACCATTGAGTGCCGAAGTCCCCGAACGACTTCGGCCATCAAAGATGATTAACCCCAATATAGGGGCAGGTCCAAAAACACTGTCCATTCCTCATGAAGTTGTGATTTTGGCCGGGTAACAATAGTTGTCTGCTTCAATGGGAACAAAAGAACAGCAGCCTGGAAAGGCAAGAAAAGTACAGAAAGTTGAAAACCGGGGAAAAAAAGGGTGAAAAAGTGAAAAAAAAAAAGCCCGGAATAATAAATGTGCAAAGTGACCGCCATATGGACCCGCAAGTTCCACTAAAACCAGAATTAATATCAGCAACAAATGTGGTTCAACAATTCCTCGTCCCACATGTACTCGTCCTATCCTCACAACTACACAATCATGTCCCAATGGCGCAATGGTTAGTGTGCTTGCTTTAGTTAGGAGGGAAGTTCATGAGCTTAGGCAAGAGGTCCTTGTTTGGTTCGGGGTTGGGTCATTTGGCATTGGATTGGGTTTTTCTTTCTTTTCGTGTCACCTTCTTTCTAGATCTCCTTCGTGGTAACACTGAGTACAGGACTCTTTCAGATGGTGCCTATGGCGGTCACCTTGTACATTTATTATTCTGGACTTTTTTTCCCACTTTTCGGTCATTTTTCCGTGTTATCGTGCTTTTGTACTTTTTTTTTTTCAATGACCTTTTTTTTTTTTTTTTTTGAATTCTGGAAAACTTTTTTTTCCAGGTTGAACTGAGGTTTCTTCCTTGTTGTGTTCAGCTTTTTTTTCACCTAAGTGAGGGTTCCAGGTATATTTGATGTGGTGGCTATACAGGCCGACGAGCCGGCCTCAATGGCTTTGATCGGCATGGTACGTGTCAGCACAGAGCCTTAACTAGCAGGGTTACTGCGACGTAGGCGACTGGCGATACAGAAAGAGATAGGTTTAAGATAATCCGATTAAGCTCTGGAGAATAGACTAGAATAGTGTAAAGAATACAGAGCTGTAAGTAGGGTTTTTATAGTAAAATACCTAGTAACTGGTAACAAAGTAATTAGAATGTATGTGAAATATGTCAGAGGTGTTGCCAGCGACGGTCAACGTTGCAGCGTGCAACAAGGCAGAGAGGGTGATCGTTGGAAAAGCAATCGGGGGGAAGGTGAAATAAAAGGATCAATGCGGCACCTGATGGGATTCCTGATCCGTGGTTGGCATTGATCTCAGCATTCAGGTTATTCCAATCGAAGTTGAATAACCCGGGGTGGATGTTAGGCGGATAACCCGGAGAGTTCAGGAATAGGGAAAAAGTGGGAATCATGACATTACCCTCCCCTTAAGGATGCTTCGTCTCTGAAGCATGTCGGTTTAAGCTTTAGGGGGGTTGTATATTTTCCAGCCGCCTCTCCCGTTTGGAATTTCCTTTGGTGCTGCCGGGTTCTTGTGGGTTCTTGTTGTAAGAAATCGTTGAGTGCCTCTTCCGCTCCTGTTAGGTGATGCTGGGGTTCCCAGGTATATTCCTCCTTCGGATACCCTTCCCAGCGTATATAATACCGCAAGGAGTTTTTTGTTTTCTTAATCCGCAGGACTTCCCCCACTTCGTATACGTCCACTCCATCTCGTACGTCCGGGGGAGGGGGTGGCACCCTTTTCTGATGTTCAGCCACCGGCGGCTTCCAAGGACGCAGGAATACTGTGTTAAACACAGGGTGGACTTTCCATATGTCTGGAAGTTGCAGTTCGTAGGACAGCGCACCAACTTTTCGAAGTACTTTGAAGGGCCCGTGCCATTTGTCGTCCAGTTTTTTCATGGGCCTGTGGGTTACGAGGTTCTTGCCTGATAAGTAAACCTCATCTCCCGGGTTGTACCCCGGATCTTCCCCCCGCTTCCGATCGTAGAAGTGTTTCATCGTTTCTTGAAGCGGCCGCTTCCTCTCGCACTAAGTGCATTCGCTTTGCAAAGTCGTCCGCCGCTTCCGTGAATGGTGAGCATTGTGTCGTGAAGTTTGGATGTTTCGCGGTGTCGTTAAGCTTCCCGCTCGATCAGGAGTTATAGGCAAGACTTGAAGGGTGGTAATATTACTAGTGGTATTAGATAGTGGGCAGTGAGGAGTCTGCCTACGCAGACAGTGGGTTGCGGACTCAGCGCAAAAGTATTGAGTGGGGTGTGTGGAGTGGTGGAGCGTGGAGCCGGTGCCGTAGCCGGACCTATATAGTGCTGGCAAGGTTCGGTTCAAAAATCGGTCCAAACCTGAACCGAACTGGACCGAACACCAGGTTCAAGGTTCAGGTTCAGCCAGCGCCTGAACCGAACACCAGGTTCAGGTTCAGTGTTTGCGTCTTGAGGAAGTTGAACCGAACCCCGAACTGAAATGCTCTTATTCCTCCCAATTTACCTCAGATTTCTCAATTTTGGGTCACGTTCTGGTATTATCTTTGTTCAAAACATACTCTTGCAACCCAGGGCCGGCTGTGGAGGCTATGTAGGCATTACCTTGACGCTCCTTGATGTCGAATGCTTCAAGATTATGTTTGTTTAATCTTCAAAAACCGGATTTCATTATTTTGCGCCCATTGAAAGGTGCAGCAATCACTGTAAACCAGGTAAGTGGGTACAAATTCGGGTTCAAATCTGTTCGAACGCCGAACTGAACCTGAACGCGGGTTCAGGGTTCAGGTTCAGCAAATCCCTGAACCAAACGTGGCGTTCGAGTTCGGTGTTCGCGGGAAAAGGGCCCGAACTCGAACTGAACCGAACCTTGCCAGCACTAGACCTATATTAACTGGCGCAGTCGATTGGCGCGACTCCACCTCTCTTGCCTTCCCTCCACTACCATCTCCCCCGCCCACATCTCGCCGCTCGCCCGCCCACATGTACGCTCATTGAACGGCGATAAACCAATACTTGCTGGGTTACTTCTTATTGTGCTTGCGAAGATCACCGGGTGCGTTGATTCAATCCTTCATCATCCATGCCTTTCTGAGTCTGACTCGGACGTCGGTCTCGTATCCAGTAACAGCTCTCAACGTTCTCACTCGGTATCCTCTTACTGGTGTTGATTTCTTTTCTATATGGACTCATCATGCTCTCGGTGCGCTATCATTTCAACTCGCGATGTTTTGCTCTGGCTGATCTTACTGTCAGTCAAAATAACTTATTTATATGTAGACTGTTGTTGTACCTTCTAGTCACCAAATATATTTGCTTTTACTCTACTTTTGCAATTCCAGTACAATATTGGCTAGAGCGAGGGGGAGGAGGAACCATTTGCTGCATTCACCGGTTTGGGATCCATGGAACCGGTTGAAAGGTTCTTAAGCACTTTTGAGCCATGGAACCGGCCCCGTGGCTTGGAACCGCATGGAGGATTCTAACCTGTGCGGTGGAAGCCACCTAAAGCCATTTGACCATGCAATGGCTTCGAGCTGGTTCAATGCCAATTAAAGCCGATCAGGATTTTTCCGACAACTCTTTTGCATGGTGCCAGCCAGTCGAGATTGAGGTTGAGTGGACCTGCAAAATTTATTAATATGAGCAATAAATTGAACACTTCCCATCCCACACGTACTCATCTCATCCTCACAGCTATATATGCAATTATGACCCAATGGCACAACGGTTAGTGCACTTGCTTTCATTGTGATTTTGAATAGAGAGTTTAGGCAAGAGGTCCCCTGTTCGATTCGGGGTTGGGTCATTCCACGATTCGGTTTTTTTCCGCCGTGAAAACCTTCTTCCTAGATCTCCTTCCCCTTTGCGCAGAGCTTGAGTACAGTACTCTTTCGCATGGTGCTAGCCAGTCAAGCTCAGCCTTGAGTGGACCTGCAAGTTCCACTCGGAGCCAAAGTTACATTTCACCAAATTTATGACCTTATTTTTCATCAAATATTCGAGCTTTAGTTCGGAACTTTTACATTGAAGTTGACCTGGCTAAGCGAACATGACAGGTCGTCGGAACTTTGTACCCGAAGTACCGAACTTGGCGAACATGTACTTGTAGGTACTACCTGAACCTCTTGCAGGCCTTTGGTTCGCTTGATACGACTGGTGGTCGGGGAATGATTGATCTGGTGGTTCGCTTACCGGGCTGTGGTTTCTTTAGCGAGACACAGCTACCAAATTGGGTTACCTCGTGCTTCGGCAAAACCGGCCACTGATCGCCAACTGACTTGAGTTCAGTTCAGAATATTCTGCATATATATATGCAATGCTAACTTGGCAATTTCTGGAACTCCTTACCTGCTGAAGCATTGCAAAGTGTTTCACTCTTTTCTGCCCTTTTTATCACACTGATCATAAGTCCAGATCATGCTTGTTGACGACAACGACACCATTTACTTTGGCAGACGACCTCACTCTCTGCTTCCCTCGCTGATTGCAACTGGAACCCTGTCTTTTCACAGTTGCTTCCTCGAGTGTCGCATCCCAGCCTCGTTCCTCTTGAGGGCTGCCCAGGCATCATACACCTCCGAAGAATCTCGCATCTTGTCG